TGCATCTTACCCGCAGATGAACATGATTAAAATTGACTTCCTTTCAGACCTATTTCATAAAGCCTTTCATATTCTTTTTGTATGCCTGGGGACAGAAAACTGTCAAATTAACAATTTGTAATCCACTCTGAAAGCCTTTATGGTCGAAAAGTGTGATATATAAGCTTTTAATAAATAAAACCAAATAATAAGTCACCACCAGAGGTTCATCAAACAGTGCAGAGCCTTGGCAATATTGTTAATCAGCCCTGTGACCTATTCCCATAAGAAATATTGTTGTCAGTCAACAAGATTTAATAAACCATATTTAACTTTGCTGTCTTCTTCCAGAGTCCTACGCACATCTAATGATAAAGTAAAAAATCACCAACTTCAGATTTTTACTTTATAATTAGAGGAGCCCCTGGTGGCACAATGAGTTAAACCCCTGAGCCGGCAGGACTGAAGACCGACAGGTTGCAGGTTCAAATCCGGGGAGAGTGCGGATAAGCTCCCTCTGTTAGATCCAGCTCCTCATGTAGGGACATGAGAGAAGCCTCCCAGAAGGATGTTAAAACATCAAAACATCCGGGCATCCCCTGGGCAACGTCCTTGCAGACGGCCAATTCTCTCACACCAGAAGCGCCTTGCAGTTTCTCAGGTCGCTCCTGACACGACAAAAAAAAAACCCAACTTCAGTATAAAAAAGTCTTTAATACCCCTAAACGTTTTATAATTTATTCACAAGTTGGCACAGTGTAAATCTTCAATGACTATCTTTTCTGAACTAGAAATAACTTTTTGGATGCATAAATCATTGTTTTCTCCAATTCCAGTGCAAAAAGATCTCTGCAAAACAATCAAGGATGAATTTTGTGAAGAATAAGTCCCAAACTGCTAAGGTTATTGCAAATCCAGGCTTTGTTGACACTTGAAAAATGTGGATTTGACTTTTTTTTTATTTTCTCCATCCCTATTAGTGATCCACTAAACATTGCCTGCTGGAGATTTCTTTCCTATTTATCATACATGATGTTCTCTAAACCCATTATAAAAGGTAGGCCATTATTATTCAAAACCAATATTTTTTTCTGCCAAGTGATACCAAATGGTATTGTTCAGTGTATGGACGGAAATCATATTCACAGATTTTCTTATCTGCACTACAAAAGGGTGCCTCAATAGACTGAGACACTCCTACCGAAAAAAGTTAATATTGGCAAGAATGTATACCCCCATACTGCAGGGACCAGCATTTTTTATTAGCAGCAAAACACTTTCCAGGATTTTTGTGGGGGGAAAAATATATCAGAAATGTGCAGAAGGCTAAGACCATATAGAAAGACGATGCTTCATAACTCTATGCTATGAATATTTATTCAGAATTAAGCTCCAGTGAATTTAATGGGACTTAATCCAAGGGGTGTGTGTGTGTATGTAGGATGAGAGCTTCAATATTTCATTGAATTTGACATCTAAGGTCAACATTAATGCAATTGCCACTGATAAGATACTACTGTAGGTAATAGTTCGTAACTGACACAATTCTGAGGCCATCTTTCATTTTGCTTTTTCATAAACTGAACACTCTGCAGTATAATTAAATAAATTGGGGGGGGGGGTTGCACTCCCCCTGAAGATGCAGGTTTGCAGCTTGGGCGGTCTCCTGGACTCATCACTGAGCCTGGAACCCCAGGTTTTGGTGGTGGCCAAGGGATCATTTGCACAATTAAAACTTGTGCACCAGTTGGGAAGTCAGACTTGGCCCTGGTAGTCCATGCTCTGGTTGCATCCTGTATAGATAACTACAAGGTGCTCTATGTGGGGTTGCCTTTGAAGACTGTTCAGAAGCTTCAAATGGTCCAATAGGCAGCAGCTAGATTGCTCACTGGAGCGGGGTACAGAGAGCATTCAACCCCTTGTTACATCAGCTCTACTGGTTGCCAGTCTGCTACCGACACAATTCAAAGTGCTGACCTTAGCCTATAAAACCCTTAATGGTTCCAGCCCAGCTTACCTATCTGAATGTATCTCCTCCTAGGAACCATCTCGGAGTTTAAGATCATCAAGGAAGGTCCTGCTCTTGGTCCTGCCTCCTTCGTAGGCACGACTGGCAGTGGTGGCCCCTTGGCTGTGGAATTCCCTCCCCAGGGAAGTTAGATCAGCCCCCTCCCTCCTGAACTTCCGTGAGAGAGTAAAAATATGGCTCTTTGATGACGCCTTTGGAGAAATTGTGCAATAAACAGTTATAGAATTATGTGCAAGGACTATTGGAACAGCCTGGATTATGATTATGGGTAATGTGGTTTAACAGTGGTGATATTGGTTTAAATGCTTTTAAATGTTTTGATATATTTCACAATTAATTTAAAATGCTCATTTCAATTGTATGTTGTTTTCAAGGGCATCAAATAGTTGCCTATGTGTAAAGCCGCCTTGAGTCCCCTCCAGGGTTGAGAAAGATGGGGTAGAAATGTTGTAAATAAATAAATATGCTTGTCTCTGCCATTCCGCCTGCATTTTAAAATATGTATTATTTCACATTCCAATTGAGATATATATTTGGTAATATCATATAATCAGAGCTGTTTTAACAATGAAATGTTGCTTTTGCAATCTTCAGATTATTAAAATCACATGGACTTCAGTGGGTTTCAAAATGAATATATTTGTTCAAAATTCCATCCCAAGGTTTCTGCTGAATATGTAAATGTAGTTAAAATGGTTTGCAAGAAATGTAACCTTTCCTCTTTTTTGGCATTTTCTCATTTATTGATTGAAAAAAATAAAACAAAATAACATAAAATTAAAAAAATGTAATCACTAATTTAGTCAAATAATACTAAAAAAATGTATGAATATTATTTTGTCAATAAATAAAGCAAGTTTCCTGCATTGGTTGCAACATGGATTTTATTGCTATCATCACTAACAGCAATAAATCGTTATTAACAACAGCTGTTTTCATGTATGATCCAAATTCTTTTTTAATTAACATTTTGTAGGAGACATTGGCATGCCTGATGTACATATAGACAATAAAAATAGTGCAATCAGTTCTGTGCATACACAAAATAATTCCCATTAAGATTAATGGTGTTTATGTCTAAATATATGTACATAGCAATGGGCATAATGCTTCATATTTAGACTCTAATCTCATGATATCTTGCCTGTTCTGTGTTTGTCAGAAACAGTATCCATGGAGTCAGTTGTTTGTTTACTGTCATAAATCTATCTTGTAGGTCATGACTGTTGGAGGAAAGAAATTTGGAGATTAGAGGGAGTTGAACCTATGGGAAAATGCTCTTTGAGCCTAGACAGAAGTTTGCATGCAGATTTTTGTCTTCAGTTAAAAAAAAAACCTTTCAAAGTTAGTAGTGATTTCTCTATCAAGCCAAAAAATATGGGTAATAATTAAGCAAAAACTGATATTCATGAATACCAGAACAGATGGGAGTTGTGAGTCCAGCAGGTTCCTCACTTGGATCATGAAATCATGATTTCTGAACACAGAATTATCAGCTCTATTGAATATTGAATGGCGCACAGGATGACAGAAATGCTGTATCTGAATGAATTACATCATTGAAAGGCATATTTATGCCTTAGCTTTATGAGAAGAGTATAATATCTATAGGACCTGTCTGAAACCACTTACCCCATTTCATGTTCATTGTCATGGACAACAAACATGCCACCTATTTTTTTTTTCATGTCAGAAATGACTTGAGAAACTGCAAGTCGCTTCTGATGCCTATTTTCAATCCTAGACTCACATTGTTTCAATAGTTATGGAATTATGCATTTATGTGCCCTTCTCTGAGTCCCCTCAGGGTGACAAGGAAAGAATATAAATATGGTAAATAAATAAATAATCTCATTATGATTTTCCACCTTTTTTACCCTTTCAATACTTCATTTTCCTATTTGCTGTGCTAATCCAGGTCATTTTTTCAGGTGCTAATAAAACTCTTGTAAATTAATGTAGTTAAGATACCTCACATGGGGCTGATATGGGTTACCTTGGGGTCAGCTAAGTTGGATGGGAAACCTGAATCCACTCCCAGGATTCAGGCTTTCCCTCAACTTAGTGGCTGTGAAGACAGTTGGGCCAGTTTCTAACCCAAACCGTCTGTAACTATCTTCACTGTCATCCCATATTCCCCAGGTTGAGGTGACCTGGAGCCATGCCAAACCATGTTCACGGTGACTGGGTGGTAGGGACTCCTTCCTGCCATCAAGGTGGTTGACAGAACTCTATGTGCACCCAATCTGGCATCCCAGATGCTGGATCGGGCTCACATTTCTTGTCAGCGTAGAAGATCTCTAAGATAAGGAAGATTTAATTCCCATCTACACTGCAAAGTTATATTAATTTCGTTCCACTTTTACTGCCATTAAGGTAATGTTGCTAGTTCCTTCCTCTGATATATAGCCCATAATACCTGATATTCATTGGTGGCCTCCCAGCCAAGTATTAATCAGGGGCAATCCTGTTTAGCTTTTAAGATCATAGTGAATCTTGTAACTTTAGATTATTTAAAGCAGGGGTCCTCAAACTAAGGCCCGGGGGCCGAATGCGGCCCTCCAAGGTCATTTACCCGGCCCTCGCTTATGGTCAACCTAAGTCTGTGATGACTTGAAAGCACACAACAACAACAATCCTATCTCAACAGCCAAAAGCAGGCCCACACTTCCCATTGAAATACTAGTAAGTTTATATTTGTTAAAATTGTTCTTCATTTTAATTATTGTATTGTTTTTAAGTGGTTTTGCACTACAAATAAGATATGTGCAGTGTGCATAGGAATTCATTCATTTTTTTTCAAATTATAATCCGGCCGTCCAACAGTTTGAGGGATTGTTACCTGGCCTTCTGTTTAAAAAGTTTGTGGACCCCTGATTTAAAGCATAAAGGCTTCTGTCCTGAATTCTGTGGATCTTTTCTTTTGGTATGTGAATATAAAGTTGCAGTCTTAAAATGCTAATATTAAAAAAATGTTTTGTTTTAATTTCAGCTACTTCTTCTTCTTCTTTTTTTTTGCTGGACTATAGCACAAAACGACATTGCCTAGATTGAGTGATGGAGGCCAAATGGATCATACAGCTACTATTCTTCTGCATCATTAACTCAGTGAGTAACCCCAGAATTGTTGATGCAATACTATGAAGATGGATGTGAGGATCCAATATGTTGTGTTCATCCATATTCATTTTATTTCCCTTTACTGTAGAAAGCAACATATCTTGATATCAGAGAACGTATCAAAGTAGCTTGTGGCTAGGACATGTCGTCTATTTTCGCATATGGTTAAGAAAGAACATAGCTCAGTGTTAAACCATACATTTTGCATGCAAAAGCTCTTGGATTCAATCTCTGAAATTTCTAGGTAGGACAGAGAAAAATTCCAGATTGAAATTTCTACTGCCAGTCAGTGTCACAACACTGAGATAGATGCTTTGAGTTGGTATAAGGTAGCTTCCTTTGTTTTTTAACTACAACCAGAACCCATGAATACACTCTTCTATCTTTCCTACTATGCAGTGAAAGAGAGAGAAGCTGCTTTTTCTAAGAGCCAGTGGTTCACCCAATGGTTTCTTAAATATGCTTTCAATACTTTGAAGCCTTGTGACACCACTAGAATGCTTAGTCTTTTCATTTATGATTCTCATAAATGATCCAGCATTGTCTATATCTTAATGGCTGCAATGCTCATCTGCTAGCTAACCTGGTGGTAGTCTTCTTTGTAGAGAGCAAGGTTGGTTCTTAAATGGTGACATATAGTCTGGGAGAAGATGTGGGTCAAGAATAGGGCTCCACAGCCACCTACAAACCCACAAAAATAGTCATCAAAGAAGACCATCTTACTCGTCCAATGAGGGATCGCCTAAGTAAGTAAGTCTGTCACCTGCATTAAAGTCTGTCACCAGAGCGTTACCCAAAGGTCCCTGCCAGAATTTAAACTTTGGACTTCACCTCATGCAGTAACTAAAGCTTTGGGAATCGTTGTTTTGCCCTTAAGCTTCGCAACACCCCATTTGGAAATTAAACAAATGATTTTTCTACTGTTGGGGTTCAGCCTGATCCTAATCTGTGTGAACCGGATTCTCTGACAGTTTTTCCAACTGAGCAAGCTCTCCCTGACAGTGTGGAATCTGTTGTTGATGCTGAGGTCAGCGACGAAGAAAATGAAACCGAACAGCTGGAGGAAAATGTTTTGGAAGCTAGCCGTGATATCTCTCCACTTGGGTTTTTTAATGAGGACCGAAGAGAACAGATAGTTAGAGACAGAAATGTTTCACAGTTTCTACGAAGGTCAAATCGTTTACAGGAGAGACAGGCCCAGGCTTCAAAGTCAAGGGGCGTTTCAAGGAATATCTTCTTTGGTTTAAGGGGCATCCTGCCGGGTGTCTCTTTAGATCAAGCAACGTTTGGGACTGTGGCTGTGCCTTGGCAGAATTCCTGTGTTCCATGGCCGGTAATCCCAGAGGCTTCTAGTTTTTAAGTTCATGGTTAGCGAGAGGCTAACAGGTTCCTGGTTCTTGTATTGTGGGTTTTGGAATTTTGCTCAAGTTCAGAGATTCTACTGACTGCTGTGTTTCTATTGTGGTTTTTTGACTTTGCATTTACCTTTCTTTTGTAACCAATTTTTCATCAATAAACAAGGATTGTTTTTCCTACAGTCCAGTGTGGTGGATTTAATCTTATGGTCTCGTTTCTTGGTCTGGGATGCAACACCTACCCCCATCACGTTTTTCTTCATTTAGCTTTCTTTTCAAGTTGTCTGTTTGCCTTCACATCACATGGGAGACACTCTCTTCCCACTGTTTCCTTCCTCTTTTTTTCTTGAAGAAATCCTCTGTTTGTTCTCATGGAAATACTTTTTAATGCAAGATCATTAAATGGGATTTCTTCTGTTCTATATTATTCTATATTACAGTTTATAAGTACAGGTAACTCTCAATTCAAATGGTAACCTGTTGAATTTATATTGTTTTAAAAAAGGGTATTAATTACCATTCCCTCCTCCTCGGTTCTAAAAATTATGGAAAAATTATGCCCATCTTGGCTCCTCCCTCCAAAATTATGTCATTGTTATTTTTACAAAGGGACAAAGGGGAATTCCCATCACACATTACATTTCACAGTTTTACATGAGGAATTAAAATGAAGCAATTCACAATTGACTTAGTAAGTTTAGGGGGAAAACTCATTATAAACAGTGAAATACCAGAACTCATAGTATGATCTTGCATCATGTGATGGCCTCCGTCGGTAGCCATTTCTTAAATGTGTAGAAACACTGATTTTATTATGTGTCATGAAGTCCTTTATCTTAAAGAACTCAAGGTGACTTCTACAACATAAAAATACATCAGAATATCATTTTTGAAGAGAAGGCTTTCCCATGTTTCTTGAATCAATTGTATTAAAGTTTACTGATCTCTTCAAAATTCTGTTGCCCAGTTAATTGAAAGGCATCTTGATGCATTGTAATTACTCAAAATGCTTTGCACTAACATTCTATACACTTATCAAATTTGATGTTTCAGCCGCCTTGACTATTGTGGCGATTTACAGTATGTCTAGTTGAATACATATATATCTCATTTTCTGTTAAGGTTTGTGTCACCGCAATTCCAGAAGAAAAGGAAGGGAACTCTACTGATGAACACTTACTAACAAGTGATGGAAATGTGACAGATGAGATGCATTCACTAGGTGTTACCAAGAATAAAATCATGATAGCACAGTTTGAATGTTACCAGAAAATTATGCAAACTCCAGTAAATAACAATCAAGGTAAATCATTTTTGACATATTCATACAAATGGCTCTCTTCTTAAGTGTTGTTACTATTAAAACATTAGTGCATTTCAAACCCTTATACCAGTGGGACTGGTATTCATGGTTTTATCTGCCCATATACAACAAAATATGTCATCTCTAGGAATGTTCTAGGTCTTCCAGGTTATTCTATCGTATGCTTTCACTTTAGTTACTAGTAAACAGCATGTTGTAGGGCCTAGAAAATTCCTAGAGAGGACATAAAACAGTTGTTCATTTCAGTAGGTATCACTATTATCCATGGTTTCCTGTTTCCACAGTCAGTTCAGGACATATTGCCCACAGATGCAAGGGCTGTACTGTACTCACAGACAAAATGACCCTATGGGGGTGATGGGACTGAGAGAAAACCCTTCCCAAAGACTGAAAAACTCAGGCAAGGTCATCTGGGGAGATACTGACTTTCAGATAGTCAGGATGTGTACAATCTATATCATACCCACCACTTTGAATTGTGCATAATCACTGGCCAACACACATTTGACCCAAGGTTAGATCTGTTTCTGTGTATATTTGATCTACTGATTCCAAATGTGGCACCAGTTTTCCTCTATCAGCTGTAGTTTTTGAGATACAGGCATAAACCAGTCTTTATCAGCTCATCCATTGAAAACCATGATAACCTTACCTATGAAACTAGAGATGATGCAGTCTGTCCAATGTAATTTTCTGAATCAGTGCCCCAAGTAATCCCAGGCACGGGCCTAAAAACCAAGACATCAAGATTTTGTTTTGTTAGGCTGTACAATGGATCAGTAGCCCATAAAACTGTTTCAGTAAATGAATTATTTTCTCCTTATAACATATTCCTTGGGGGCACACTTGGTCCATTTGTGTAGCATAAACGATTCTCAACAACTGTCTTCATAATATATCTGAACATTCAGTAAAATATAAATGTTATGGTGGAAAGTTCAGCTACTACCTGTCCATTAGACTGAATCCAAGTAATGTATCTTCTACTCCAGGTATGAGTAGAAGGGGTCTTATCCAGTCCTTGCTAAATAGGGACCGTAGAGTCTTTCATGTATCTTTCATTATTTGCATAGAACCTCACTGCAACAGAACATGGGATGGATGGTTATGCTGGGATGATGTTCCTGCAGGAAAAACAGTAATGCAGAACTGTCCTGACTACTTCCAGGATTTTGACACTTCAGGTAATTTTCTGTTGTTTATTTATTAACAATGTGATTGGTCTTCAGGAAAAATGGCAAGGAAAAGACTTTGGCATTAGTGAGACAAAAAACCTTTCAGCACATGAAATTCCCACTGACTTCCAAAATAAAAAATATGAGGTTTTCTGTTCAAATGTTGACTTATGCAAAGAGAGTACGTAGGAGTCCCGTGTGTGAAGTATAGAGTGTTCCAAATGGTAGTGGAGACTAAGGGGACAGGCATACCTTAACAGACTGTTTACTTTAGTCCAGAAGAATTCTTATTTAGTAGTCTGATGGATAACTTCAAATAATTTAGCTAGAGTACCCCCCTACCCGTTCTCTCCCCTTCCCCATCTACCTATTCCTCCCCGCCCCTCCCCTTCATCCCCCTGCTGTTGAGTGTTAAAATGTTGTGAACTCAGTGAATGTATACATGATGCTGTCCTTTTTTTAATATTTGGAAAACTAATAAAGATTATATATATAAAAAATAATTTAGCTATTCCAGGCCATAATCCACACACAACCCTTCCAGGTACATATGGTGGTACATCAATGATTGATCATTTCTAGATAGCTTCAAGCAAGTGGAAAATACAGGAAAATGGATAGGCTCACAAGCTTGGCTGAGTCAGTTGTCTGGGTGGGAACTGTTTCATACATTTGATCTTTTGTTTTAAAAATGTTTGTAAATCTGAAATGCCTCTTAGGGCGCTTCCAGACATCACCTAACTCCGCACCAAAGTGGGTTTCAAAAATCTAAACATGTAACCTATTAAAACTCATACCAATCTTTCAAACAGATTAAAAACCATATATAAAATGTTGAGTCATGGTCCCATATCTAAATCATTTTCCAAAATCGATAGTCCATTATTCAAGCTGTTAGAGTCTCATTCCATAGTTTCCTATTCAGCAAACGTCTGCATAAAAAGCCAAGTTTCTTTCTAGTCCAGGACTACCTGGTAGTTAGTCCCCACAGGACCAATACACTATTTGACCTGGGCCTTTCAGGAAAGCCTGGGTCTAATGGGGTATTTAATTAATTCAGAATAACCTCACTTTTTCCAAATTTATTTACTTTTACCGAAGGCGTTGTTTGGACACCTCCGATAAAAGCCTGACAGGCCCCACATTTTGGGACCTATCTGAAAGCACCCTTAGTGACGAAAACCTTCACAGGCATGAGGTATCACAGACAGTTAGGTCAGCAAAGAAATTTACTTGAAGCTTTTTGACATGAGTTGAAAAATACATGGGAGAAAGTCGTGGAATAAAAACTGTTGTGATTTTACAGTTAATTAACTTTTCCTACTCTAGTTCAAAACTCAACTTGAACGGAACACCTTTAAATATGCATATTTGAAAGAATAACTCAGGAAGTTTAATAAAAAGGACAGACTGGAATCCCTTTGAGTAATATGAAAGGGGGGAAAAACCAAAAGACAGTACTTAACTATGGGACTTTTACTTTTCTTTATATATGAATTTATAGAGTAAGAAAAATATAATGGCAGAGACTCAGAATGGAAGTCAATGGGACTCCCTTTTTTGCCTTTATCTTTACTCTTTTCCTACTTTCCTTTCAATTCAATGTTCTCCCACTTTTTATGTAAAAACAATAAAATGTTCTTTTTATGGACAATAAAAATCTATTTAAAAAGGGACATTGTAGAAGAATGGACTTAATAATAGACTAAATTTAAGAGCTTGGCCGTTGTTCCTCCAACATTGAAAAGTGTGTTATTTTTAATAGAACAAGTATTTAAACCAAAAGGATTAGATGGAAGTCACCAACGTGGGTTTTTTTTTAACCTTTTTTGTCCTTTCTTTTTTCTCCTTTTTAAATCTTACTTCTTCTTTCTTGCTTTCTATACACAGTATTGTTCCCCCACTTTAAATGTATAACAAAACTACCAAACTACCCCCATTTTTATTCCCCGTGCCTTGTTTACCCCTAAATAAAAATATTATTAAACAAAAAATCTATTTAAAATATGCAATTTTGAAACTTGTACAAACATTAGAGGGGCATTAGGCTATAGGAGAATATGTCTAAGACCATTTTGATAATGTGTTGGTATTTCAATGAGTTCACAGTCTGAGTGTTGATTTTTAAAAATACTAAAAGTTTTATTTACCGTTGTGTCTTTTTTCCCTGACTTTTCTTTAATCAGAAAAAGTTTATAAGACGTGTGAAGATAATGGACAGTGGTTTCTACACCCTAAGAGTAACAGAACATGGACAAACTACACACTCTGTAGTGCAGAAATACCATCAAAATTGCAGGTAGATTGAAAAACGGAATGTTACACATTGGGAATGAAATTATTTCAAAGGACGCAAAACCATGAAAGACATGGAATTTTGCATTGTAAGATTTAATTTTTCTCTGCAGTTTCAGCACAGCTTAAAATGCCTTTTGACTGCAATCCTATACTACTTTTATCCAAGTGTGAACTTAACTAATTCAACTAAGCAGTTTTCAAGAAGAAGCAAATACGAGCATTTCTCCTGAATGAAGATATATTAGAAATAGGATTACAGTTTACCAATCCTCACAGCTCATTGGCACATTTTTATTCTGGGCAGATGAGGGTGTTCCCCAATATTGCTGGACTATTTTCAGATATTAGAGATGAATTACATTCTTTGCTTCCAGAATGTACTTCTGTGGCTGTTGCATTTGTATTGCACTGGTTCGTTTTCTTCAGGCACTATATAGATTGGCAAAAAAAAGAAATCAAAGAGGTGAAGGGGAGTCCCATTAGATTTCTACCAACCTTATCCAATTGGCCATGCATATCAGTCATTTTGTCCCCTATCCTTCCTTCTCTATGGAGGAGGCAGAAGGGAGAAGCAGCTATAAGGTTACCAGGTTCTAAGAGTCGAATTGACCTCCAGCACTGAACAGTAAAAAGACTTATTAGGCCTTCTTCCTGGTTTTCATGTATATAATAGAGCAGTGGTTCTCAACCTGTGGGTCCCCAGATGTTTTGGCTTTCAACTCCCAGAAATCCTAACAGCTGGCAAACTGGCTGATATTTATGGGAGTTGTAGGCCAAAACACCCGGGGACCCACAGGTTGAGAACCACTGTAATAGAGCATTCATGAATTTTGGAATTCACTGGGGATCCTTGAACAAAATCCCTGCAGATATCAAGGACCCAGTGTATCTTTCAGAAGGCTTATGCTGAGAGCCATTGGGTAATCATTTTCCTTCTACTACAAATTTAATGTGGCATGAAGACAGAAGTGATTATTGACAAGAGTAACCAAATTTAGGCTGGATCTACACTGCCATATGATCCAAATTATCAAAGCAAATAATCCACATTTTCTGCTTTGAACTGAATTATGTGAGTCTACACTGCCATATAATCCAGTTCAAAGAAAATAATCTGAATTTTGTATTATATTGCAGTGTAAAGGGGGCTTAAGGCTGGATCTACACTGCCAGAGTTGCGGGGTGGCCACCAAAAAGGAGCTTGTGATGGAGGTGGGACTGAAAGAAGGACCTCTCCTGAAGATAGATAGATAGATAGATAGATAGATAGATAGATAGATGATAGATAGATAGATAGATAGATAGATAGATAGATAGATAGATAGATAGATAGATAGACAGATAGATAGATCAGGACCAAAAGATAGATAAAACTCACTAATACATTCAATTAATGGCCTGGGAAAATGTGAGCTTCTTTAGGACCCATTTTGATTTCTCAAGCATGGAAACCAAAGAAGATGTGGAGGTTCACTGGGGAAAATGGCTTTCCATTAATATTAGTTAACTGATAAGAAAGAGTGCCTCAGCACATCACAGCAAACTCATAGGGGAAAAATGGTCCATTTTAATGAGTTTTTTGACACATTGAGAGTTTTGATTAAACATTCGCATTCCAAAAAATTGTGAATTTTGTATCCTCTCAGAAAAGTTTTTCACCTACAAAAAAAATTGTGAAAGGCGAAAAACCACCCAAACATGTGAAAGGCCATTCAAAACTATAGGGTTCATATCTGATCCAGAAGTAAGAAAGTTTGTGGAATGAAATAAGCAAAGATGGCCATCTCTATAGAGAACATAATTATTCTTAATGGTGATCCAGAAAACAGGGGGTTAAGACCGATTTTGTGTTCTCATAAGGGTGTAGTCTAGTCTTTCATAGTCTGGTATTCTCCCTTTACTTCCTCCCTTAACCATTTATTGTGCTGGCTGGGGGGGATGACAGTTGCAATCCAAAGCTCATGGTGAAATCGGGTACAATAGTATTTTCAAGACACTGAATTATTGGTGATGTGAAATTGCTAATGTTCTATGTATTGTCAAAGGCTTTCATAGCCACAATCACTGGGTTGTGTTGTGTTTTACAGGCTGTATGGCCATGTTGCAGAAGCATTCTCTCTTGACGTTTTGCCTGCATCTATGACAGGCATCCTCAGAGGTTGTGAGGTCTGTTGGAAACTAGGAAAATGGGTTTATATATCTGTGGAATGTTCAGGGTGGGAGAAAGAACTCTTGTCTGTTTGAAGTAGGTGTGAATGTTTCAATTGGTCACATTGATAAGCATTTAATAGCCTAGCAGTTTCAAAGTCTGGCTCCTTACTGCCTGGGGGAATCCTTTGTTGGGTGGTGATTAGCTGGCCCTGATTGTTTCTTGCTTGGAATTCTCCTGTTTTTGATTGTTGTTCTCTATTTACTGTAATGATTTTAGAGTTTTTTTAAATACTGGTAGCCAGATTTTGTTCATTTTCATGGTTTCCTCCTTTCTGTTGAAATTGTCCACATGCTTGTGGATTTCAATGGCTTCTCTGTGTAGTCTGACATGGTGGTTGTTGAGTGGTCCAGCATTTCTGTGTTCTCAAATAATATGCTGTGTCCAGATTGGTTCATCAGGTGCTCTGCTATGGCTGACTTCTCTGGCTGAAGTAGTCTGCAGTGCCTTTTGTGTTCCTTTATTAGCGTTTGTTGGTCCCTATGTAGACTTGTCCACAGCTGCACGGTATACGGTAGAGTCTACCCTGGATGTTCCACAGATATATAAACCCCATTTTCCTAGTTTCCAACAGATCTCACAATGCCTGCTATACATGCAGGTGAAACATCAGGGGAAAATGCTTCTGGAACATGACCATACAGCCCCCAAAACACACAACAACTCACTGCTAGTATTCTGTTTGCAACTAATAACATGTTGTTTAAAGTATGTGCAGAACTGCATTGTTACTTACATTGTATTTCTCTCCTTGTTTTTCTCTCATTACAGACAGCTTTGAATTTGTATTATCTCACTATCATTGGGCATAGCCTTTCCATTGTTTCACTTTTGATTTCTCTTGTCATATTCTTTTATTTTAAGTAAGTATAATAATTATTATTACTATTATTATCATTATGTGTCAACTACATCTTTTGTCTGCAGCTGCCATGTATAATGTTTGGCAATTCAAGTGGAAACTGAAATACCGCAAGAAGTTGTTTAGCTCTGTTTATTTTCAACCAAGTGATTATCCCCAGACAACAAAGCTTTCATTTTCTGCTGTTCAAATACAGTGAAAATTTGGATCTCTTTCATACTGCACAATTATAGTACAACTCCTTTGTATATGGATGATATCCATGGTTTCGTTGACCCACAATTCAAAAAATATTGACAGGCCCTAGACGTGTTTGCAGGCCAGTTCTATTCTATGGTCTGCTTCTGGCCCAATAAAGGGTTTCTCATTATCCACATTTTCAAGTATCCACAGTGAATCTCGGAATGTATTTCCCATAGATGTGGGTGTCAAACTGTATAGCACTGTGATGCCATGTTTTGTTGCCATAGCTCCCTTCTGTGGAATCCAATGATTTGTAATATTTCCCATTCTCCTCTAGTTTCTCACCAGACTACAAATCTCAGAATTCCACAGAATATGGCCCTGAGGAGTGGTATCAGAGTGCTGTAAATGGTATTGTGTGGCACAGGAAAGAGACCCTTCATAGAACCATTTTCACATGATGGCCAAATCTGTATTATTCCCAATGTATGTATTTCTCTTTGTAGTTTAAAATCTACATAAGCCCCAAAAAAGCTTACTTCTTTCTTTGAGGAAAGTAGCCAAACAATATTATCCTCCCTTTTTAAAAGTAGGACAAGGGAGGGAATCATGCACTCCTCCAGATGTGAGAGTGCAGCTCACGGCTTTTCTAATTCCTGACTGAAAAGGACTGGTGGAAACTGCAGCAGACAATATCTGGAAAGTGACATGATTCCCACTTCTGACTTAGAATATGTCAGCAATATGAGGAACCATCAGGCCATTTGAAGCTGATATCAAGAGGGTGGGTATCTAGAGACATAACTCAGCATTACCAAATGACTCAGTTTGCTGCCCAGTCATGATTTTGTGCTGTTTTCACGAAGCAGAGACATTAGTAGCAGATCTCTCGATAATCCACATGTGTTTATTTTCAGGAGCCTGAGTTGCCAGAGGATCACTTTGCATAAAAATCTCTTTTTCTCCTTTGTTTGCAACTCTGTGGCTACAATCATCTGTCTGACAGGAGTTGCCAGCAATCAACAGCTTGTTGCCGCGAATCCTGTAAGTGCATAAGGCTTGGCTTATGTTACTGTACTGTAAGAAACCAAGAGATTGAATAACACTAACGTTTTCTTAGAGAAGATCCTTTGGATCTTGCCTTTCTACACCCAACTGCCAGCTGCTATGGCAATGGTTCCCAACCTTTTTTTGACCAGGGACCACTCTGACGAGGGACTACTTTCCAATATTAGTACCAAAAGGGTTACAAATCAATTTTTGTTCAACTTTAGATTTGGTTTGGTTATTTGGAGTGCTGATTCAGAAAATTGCATTGGATAATCCACATCAGCTCTAGTTTCTGATACAGAACTTGTATGCCATCCAGTAGTTGCCATCTGCTTGCCCACAGAAAACTGTATTTAATAATCTCTAGCTGATTTGGTCTATTCAAAGGGACGGGGCTGGTCAGTGACAGGGAAGGAGTGGCAGCTGGTGCAAAAGGAGTGGAAAGGAAATAAAATAAATAAATAAATAAAGAGGAAGGAGGCTTGCAGACAAGATTTTCATCCTCGCAGCCCACTAGTGGTCTGCAGCCCACAGGTTAAGAACCACTGTGCTATGGGAGTAAAGTAGTCATTCTACATGCATGGTCTTTATAAATGTGGATTTTGATTCCGAAAAGTACCAAAGCTAAAAATATATAGAAAATGAGTTATAGGTGGTGAGCACATTGTTGACTAGCAGTAACATATTATCTATCAATTAACATTAACAAAAATGTATCAAATCACTCCAGAACATGACACCAACTTTAACTAGTTTTTCTTGAAATCTGAAATGCTTGGTGTGCTTTCAAGTCATATCCGACTTACGGTGACCCTCAGTGAATCGATCTTGGGCTTTTTGTGGCAAGATTTTTTTCACAGGAGGATTGTTTACTATTATTATTATTCTGACATAAAAACACATTATTATTACTACTACTATTATTATTATTATTATTATTATTATTATTATTATTATTATTACTACTATTACCCCACTTTATCTCCCCAAAGGGGACTCAAAGCAGCTTGACAGAAAAGCATTAGTATACAATTTCAAATATCAGAATATGCAAACAGTGTAACAGAATTAAACACAAACAGCACTAAAAAAAATTATAGTTAAAATCCATAAAGAAATATTCAGAGTTAAAAACTACAGCACCCCCTGACTAGATCTTAAACCACTCCAACTTTTAAAGACTGTTTGAATAGAAAGGTTTTAGTCTGCCACTGGGTTGACTTCTTCTGTAACAGAGAAAGTGTTAATGTACTCAAGGCCATCCAATGGGTTTCCATGGCCGAGCAGGGAATTGAACTGTGGTCTCCAGAGTACAGTGCTCAAGCAGCACTCTGGCTCTAAAATGTAGGCCCACCTTAATAGTTACTTTTTTAGATGCAGAAATCAGTTTCATGATATGACAGGCAAGGAAGGTGCTTTTTCTATCAGACATAATAGGTTGGGGAGCCAGTACCCACAAACAGGACAAAAGGATGTGGAGCCAGGGCTACAGTTCTCAGTGTTCCCTCTCCAGAAAGTAAAATCCTCTTATCTGTTTTGCCTTTGTTTGACAAGTTGTCCACAACATGGTATTTGCATCTTAAATCAGTTCCAGTGTTTATGTTTATCTGCCTAAGGCACATGATTTCAGTACTGTATTTTTCACCCCCTAGGTTGGATGCAAAGTGGCTCATTTCTTTCAGCTTTATTTTATGATGTGCAATTACTTCTGGATGCTCTGTGAAGGCATTTACCTGCATACACTCATTGTGGTGGCTGTATTTGCAGAAAAACAGCACTTGCTGTGGTATTACCTTCTTGGATGGGGTAGGTTATTTCCATTTCTGTTTCCTCCCAGTCAAGTACATCAATATTTCTTTCAGGTTGCAGGCATCAGAGTGTATTAATTGAACAGCATTTTGGCAGCATTGCTCAAAAGAGCACGTCAGCCTTCAGCAAGTTCCTCTGCTTTCTACCACTAGCTAAATAATAATAATAAAAAGCAATAAATTAAATGTCTTTCTAATTTGCCTTCTTTGTTTCAACGGCAGAATAAACTTTTGCCATGGGGTTAAGCATGTACCATTGATGCAACAAACTTATCTGAGCCAAAGGCGACCTGCATTTAGTTGAGTCAGGAAACGACTCCTCCTTTATGCAGGAAAAATAGTCCTTTATTATGAAAAAGGCATTAAGGGGTAATTATTCATTGTTTCTCATCTTGGAAGTGTTTATACAGGAATGACTGTTTGTTTTCAAAGGAGTCTCGCCATTCCTAGGGTAGGAGGTCGAAGCACCATTTATTTTCCCAGCAGTTCCTTTTGACCTGCTTTGTTTCTAGTGAAAAGCGAACACTACTTGAGGTGAAAAAAGAGAAAGGAGAAAAACACACACATCTCAACCAGAGAACATTATTGAAGACAGCAAGCCATTCATCTCTGATGTACACTGATATTTTCTGGAGTTGATCCATTTATTTATTTTAGGGTTTTCTTTTAAAAAAAAAATTACAAGACAAATGAGACCTAGTTGCACTATGATAGGCTTGTGAGAATAAACATTAGAGAACCAAAAGGAGTGAAATTCCACATGGATTTAGAATGGTTTATGATCCGGTCCTGCTCTCTGTTTTGGAGCAACTGCCTCAACAACCTTATTTATCCTCCTGCCTATGTCATCCTGAATGTCTATTTTACTTTTACCTGTCAGGGCTACCTTCTGCAAATAAGCCTGGTTAAATACTTCATCCAGTACAGTGGTTCCCAAACTTTTTTTTTGATCAGAGACCACTCTGATTTTTTTGTAGTAGTTGTTAGTAGGGACTGCAAGTTTAAGAATAAAAAACTGTTAATTTAAAAACAAATTTTACTCAATTTTTTTAACATATTCATTAAACTTAATAGTAACATAAATTAAGAGTACTATTATAATATAAAAAGAACATTTTTATTAGAAATTAAATTCAGTTTGCATCAATGTGATTTTTGAGCTTGCATCTTCTTTACAAGTTGAGTAATCTTGGGGCTAATATTATTGTTCAAAGCTACACACATATCATCACTTACTTTCAACCAATTCCTTGACTTGTTTTTAAAATACCAGCAAAGCAGAAAACCCTTGTCCACATAAATAAGTTGTGGAGAAGAACATAAGATGTTGTGGAGAAGAACATAAGATAGTGCAAGGTGATTCCTCAGATTTTAGTATAAAAATGCTTTTTTTAACACCAAAACTCCTTAAGAGAATTACATTCAAATACATTCTGTAAGTTTCTATCATTTTGAAATTCAATGAGCTCTTCCTTGATTTCTTCTGCAACCTCCCCAACACTAGTACCAAAAGTATAAGTCCAACAAAGAAAAGCTGCATTGTCTTTTTCATAACAATTGAAATTTATTTCAATCATCATTAAATAAGTGAAAATTAATATGAATATTGAGGACTCATGATCAGTAAAACTACTGGAGCTATCGAATCACTAAACAGCAAAACAGAATCACTGACTCAGCCGAACAAGAGAAAAGAATGCAAGCAACTGCCTGACACTGGGTGGCATAAGTACTTGACATGTAATGTTGATAGCTTACCCTGGCCTCCTGCGCTCACCAGATGTCCTACTCACCGACGCCACTCACGTAGCAATGTATTCATTAAAATGAATAAAGGTTTAAAATCGTAAATGTTTTGCAGACCATGTTTTAGTTCTTGCGGACTACTGGTTGGGAACCACTGATCCAGTAGGTTCCAATTTTCAATTCACCTTTCATCTTCATTCCAAAGTAACTGGGTACATTTCCTTCTGATTTAGCAGTGACACACCCAATTCATCTCCTCCCAACCTTTTCAGCTCTTTTAAAAACATCTCATTTTCTACCTCCTCTTTCCACTTTGTCCTCATCTTAGATCTAAGTAGTTTGCACTCAATTAACAGATGGGAAAAGGGAGGAGGGAGCAGAGACTTGTTTTTCCCTGTAGACTCGAGCAAAAGCAAACTGCTACAGTTGCTTCTATCTTGTGTATTATGTTGATCAAACTAATGTTGTTTGGCCACAGAAGTCCTAATTTTCATCTTTGAAATGTTGGAGGGCTTTTCACTCAATGCTATGATCTCACAACTGCCAATTGAAAGAGCCCTTCCAAAAGGGAATTGAGCAAATGAGTACTACACACTGACCAGAGCCAGAAAGTTACCAGTCATTAGTTACTGCCATAGAACAAACATAATTTTGCTCCTCTTCCCCTCAAAAAATTGAAGAGCCCTGCCAACAGCAGGTATTTGAGAGGAGAATCACATTCAGAGTGTCTGTTTTTAAAAATGAGACATTGCATGCCTCCTGCCACCTGATATCTTTTTTTTTTATGCACTCAGGGCCTTCCACATTGCCCCTTTATCCCAAGTTATCTGGCAGTGGGGACTCACTGCAGATAATCTGGGATCCAATTTTGAGATAAAGGGCAGTGTGGAAGGACCCTTAGTGAGTAGGTTTTGGTATCACATATCTTGTTTTATTTTAAAAGTCTGAAAAGCTATTCAGTGCAGGCACGATTGACAGATCTGATTTATGCAGACTCATATGCACAGATGTTTTAATATTACTTTAATTAGAGTAATCAAAGCTTAATTTAAGTCTGATTTGTAGTCTTAAAATGTCAGTGTCGTTAGAATAAACTGTTTTATGCTAAAACATTCCTTGTTTATAAGGATGAATCTAATTTTTGATTTTACTAATTAGTCATTGATAAGGAGAAACAGCTTAAGCTAACCATCTTTCCTCTCTCTCTCTTTTTCTCCCTCTCCCTCCCTCCAAGTGTTAATTTTATCGTCATTCTAAACTTAAAAGTTAACTACACGCAGATTTATAAAATCAGTACTAGGACCTCTTATTTCCTTGTTATTTTAAATATATTAAAATATTTTTATTAAACCAGAACTATCAAAAAAGTATGCCTCTGACAACCTCGCCTAGGCATCATAATACATCTTTTGCAGTAAAAGCTACCAAGCTAATATCCCAGTTTTAGTATATAATATTCTAGTTTCTATCCCCAAATTAAGGTCAGAATTTGGCATGAATTTCAGAATCTCCAAGGTAGCTCCCATAATTGTTCTTGCTGTCACACAATACTTTCCGTAATTCTGTTCCGCAACAAAGACCATGAGTTTGGGAAATTTTAAGAAGATAAGCTCTCTTTTTCAGTGCATGATGACTCTCATGTCAATAGGATGATTAATCCCCTCTGGGTTTTACTCAGAATTTAAAAGAACTATCTAAATGCTAGCATTTCAAATATTTCCTTTACAGCTCAAGATAAAGCCTCAAATTCATCCAACAACATAGAAGACACCAGCTGCAGTCTCTTCTTGGGCCCCTTCCACACAGTTGAATAAAATCCCACATTTTCTGCTTTGAACTGGAATATATGGCAGTGTGGACACAGATAACCCATTTCAAAGCAGATATTGTCGAATTTGCTGCCTTGATATTCTGGGTTATATCTAATAGCTAAGGCCCTATGGAAGGGCCCTTAGCTATTAGATCCCTCAAATCTTCTCTTAACCCAAGACGTAAGTGAATAGCCTATCAGAGTTAGGATATGTTTCAAGATTGCTTTTAGAGCTGGACCCATTTCATGGTGTTAATGGAACTTTATTGGCAGAGTAAAGTAATGGGAGATACTTGATCAAAGACAGCACGAAGAATGGAAGAATAGGCTCAGGAGCTTTCCACACAGCCATATAACCCAGAATATCAAGGCAGAAAATCTGAATCCACACTGACATATATTCCAGTTCAAAGCAGAAATTGTGGGATTTTATTCAGCTGTGTGGCAGGAATCTCAGATCTAGCCTCAATGGGCCTGTCCAGACAGGACATTTATTGTGGGAACTACCACAATAAAGGAGGGGCTCTCCAGACAATGTTCTGGACATTGTTTCTAATGGAGGGCACGTAAGTTTTTAGTAGTTTTCTAAGGGGTCTGGGGGTTTGGGGGGAGGGGGTAAGGCCACCGCACATTCTCTCTGGCTAGTCCCGAGAGAAAGTCTGGAAACCCACCCCAGAAAGTGCACCTTTTCTGGGGTGGGTGTGGACAGGCCCCCATAAACATCTACATTTTTTTTTTAACATGGATGCTTCTGGGATAAAGGCCTGTCTGGATTTGGCCAATGAATCTTTGAAGGTTTGAGTAAGAGTAGAATGATCATCACTCATCCAAAGCATGCATCCTCCATTCGACATATTAACCATCCTTCCTAACAATGTAATACCAAAAAAGACTGTAACTCCATGAATCTCCCAACCAGCATATGGCCCAGAACAGTAATTTTCCCCAAAACTATGTGTACATGGCATTAAAACAATCGTGGGGATAAAGGTTTGCCTGTGCCTTTCATGTATGGGCAGTCATCCAGCAGAGCACTTAAATGTTTGCCTTAACTGCATATGTATTCAGTGACCTCACTGTGAAATCTGGGATCATTCATGTCCTTAGTCTCAGTGCAATGGCCTCAACCATCTGGCTACATTCAGGCGAAAACTCCGTTTTAGTCATGGAGTGACTGAAACAGATTTATTCAATTATGTTGATTAAATAAAAGAATGACTTGTGCTAATACTGTAGTTTAAAGAAATAATAGCCTTTCATTCTCCAAACACTAATGGCTTTGTGGGTCTCATAACAATGTTTGAGAAAGCCAAGAAAAGACCTTAAACACCTAACAGATGTACAGATTTCTCATAATGGAAGTTTTCATGGAGTTCTCATCTGCTTTATCAGATGGTCGTTTTTTCAAGTCACTTTAGGCAAAATAGGATTTTATGGAAACTTGTGGGAGAATGCAATCGTTAGTCCTTTACCAGCTAAATTTGTAGCTATATCCTCCTATCAAACTTTTATATTTGTGCATGAATTCTTCCTCTCCCCTGTTCAGTTATTGATTCCCTTTCCATTCAATAAGTTCAAGATGAAGGGGGACTAGACCATTTTAATAAGAAAATTATACCTTCTTGCAAAGCATGAAACACTATTGTAATCGATATCTTGGCATTTTTTATATTAAAAAGTCTGCATTTGATAGACTCAAACTAAAAAACATGACCAAATTTAAAATAATAGACAGGCGGGGCAGCTCTATAATAAGTCTAGGGACCAACCTTTTGGGCAGTGCAATGAGGCAAGAATAGAATGGTGTCCTGAGATAGTTTTTAAGCAACTTTTAAAAATGTGGATATAAGTGATTTTAATGTTTGTATATATTTATGGTTTTATGTCCCGGGATTGAATGTTTGCCGTATATGTGTTGTGCTCTGCCCTGAGTCCCCTGCAGGGTGAGAAGGGCAGAATATAAATGTTTTAAATAAATAAATAAACACCTTGCCAGAGCCTTTTTGTGCATACTCAGCTCTCGGCACACACATATATGTGATGCACACACATATATGTGATACCGCCCTGAGTCGCCTGCGGGCTGATATGGGCGGGATATAAGTGATGTAAATAAATAAATAAATAAATGCACACACAGATATAAAGAAGTCATTTTGGTGGCAGGCTATTGTGCTGTCTCAAGAAGCACTGTTTAAATCTTGACTCTGTACCTGGGGATGGTATGATGGTGCTTAGAAGGTGGGCCTTGGAAAAAAGTAGCCCCAGGACCTATCCTGGCCATCAGTTAGGACCCTATTCTGCACTTTACCCACTCCCCCAGCCCTATGTTACTTCATTGCACTAGCTGTGGCCCAGCCTCTCATAGTGTCTAGGCCACTCTGAAATTCTGGCCATTGGTAGTCCAAATTTTCCCAGTGGAATAGTATTGGAACTGGTTTTAATGTATATGACTGTTTTAATGGTGTTATGTTTATGTTTTATGATGGCATATTTATCGTGCCAGGAGCAACCAGTGAGTTGTATTACATTTTTAACAACACAAACAGAAAAAAGACAAAGTTTGCAAGCTTGATAGTTGATTAAATGTCGTTTGACCAGTATCTGGCCACTTGGAGTGCCTCTGGTGTTGCCGCAAGGAGGTCCTCCATTGTGCATGTAGCAGGACTCAGGTTGCGTTGCAGCAGGCGGTCAGTGGTTTGCTCTTCTCCACACTCGCATCTCGTGGATTCCACTTTGTAGCCCCATTTCTTAAGATTGGCTCTGCATCTCGTGGTGCCAGAGCGCAGTCTGTTCAGCACCTTCCAAGTCGCTCAGTTTTCTGTGTTTCCAGGGGGGAGTCCCTCATTTGGTATCAGCAATTGATTGAGGTTCTGGGTTTGAGCCTGCCACTTTTGGGCTCTCACTTGCTGGGGTATTCCAGTGAGTGTCTCTGTAGATCTTAGAAAACTATTTCTTGATTTAAGTCGTTGACGTGCTGGCTGATACTCAAAGAAGGGATGGGCTGGAGATGTCACTGCCTTGTTCCTTTCACTACTGGTTGCTACTTCCCTGCGGATGTCAGGTGGTGCAATACCGGCTAGACAGTGTAATTTCTCCAGTGGTGTAGGGTGCAGACACCCCGTGATAATGCGGCATGTCTCATTAAGAGCTACATCCACTGTTTTAGTGTGGTGAGATGTGTTCTGCACTGGGCATGCATACTCAGCAGCAAAGTAGCATAGCGCAAGGGCAGATGTCTTCACTGTGTCTGGTTGTGATCCCCAGGTTGTGCCAGTCAGCTTTTGTATGATATTGTTTCTAGCACCCACCTTTTGCTTGATATTCAGACAGTGCTTCTTGTAGGTCAGAGCACGGTCCAGAGTGACTCCCAGGTATTTGGGTGCGCTGCAATGCTCCAGTGGGATTCCTTCCCAGATGATCCTCAGAGCTCGGGATACTTGTCTGTTCTTAAGGTGAAAGGCACATGTCTGTGTTTTAGATGGATTAGGGATCAGCTGGTTTTCCCTGTAATAGGCGGTAAGGGCACCTAGAGCTTCGTAGAGCTTCTGTTCTACCATCTCAAAGCTCCCTGCTTGAGCAATTATTATGGTTATTCTGCATGTTTTTAGTGGCAATTGAATGTTTTGGCTGTTGGAAACCACCCTGAGTCCCCCTAGCGAGATAGAGTGGTATACAAAAAAAATATGATGATGATGATGATGGTTATTATTATTAATCATAATAATAATAATAATAATAATAATAATAATAATAATAATAATATTTAGAGCTGACCAGATTATGGGTTTCAGTCCTCTTACCAGACACTCAAAAACAATGAAAACATCTTAGAAAATGGTAGATAACTATTTTCCTGTGGGAATCCCTTGCCTCAGCAGTAAAAATGTAGTCAGCAATTATCTTCTGACTATATCTAGGCCAATCTTGTTTTCTCTGCATGTCAATGACTTTCAAGGGTTTCAAACACATGGACTTCCCATCACCTTTATCTGATTCTTTTGACAGGAAATGCAGGTGATTGAGTCCTGCAGGCCTCTGTCAGTAAAACATGCTATCTTGTTGAGGTTGAATATATCTTATCTCCAAAAGACACACAATAGACATGTAGCAAAGGGCTCAACACTAACTACTGGGTCTACAGCCCAGAAGTGCCTGTACCCAACCATTGAGTCATTCCATTCTACACACAAAAGATCACTGAAAGATCACCTGCCTAGTAGTCAGTATCAGAAGAGTTACTTTTTTTAGTTATACCAGTGAGGAGCAGAGAGTATAGTTTGTAGATGTGTCCTGTACACCAGTTTCACAGCCCATGGCGCTCCTAATCTCCCCTCATTTTTTCCTGCATAATTTTGGGATGGGTTTTGCCTGCAAAGCATGCCCCAAGTGCACACAGCCATACTGGAAAGATTTATATCAATACAGTGGCCAGGCTTATCTTTCTTTTCTGGTCATCCTACTTAGTTAGAAGAGCATGGATTGAACTAAAAACTCTTGTTTCTGTGTCCTGTAGATGATTCTTTCAAGATCTAGGTTTTCCTCAGTTCTGGAGTCTGAGGACAATGGGAAGTTAGAGCCGAGTTCTTAATGGGAAAGGGGAGCAAGCAAGCAAGGTCTGTCGTAATTCTCTGAGAGATTTCTGTTCCCTACGTGTTATTCCCTCATCATCGTGTTTTTCTTGGTATTATGAGGAGTGGCAGCCTCCCAGGAGTCTTTCTTCTCATAGATCACAATCTTTTCATCTTTGCTTCTGCAGTCTCAGAATTAAGATTTCTGTCTAAGATGAATATCCTTTCTGTTCACAGGTTTCCCACTGATTCCTGCTTTCATACATGCAGTAGCAAGAAGGATATACTTCAATGACAAGTAAGTTGGAACAAGATCTGCCCTACTACCTTTGAATGTTCTTTTTGAAAAATCCTCTTAATACAAGAAAGTACAGGATTATTTTCTTCCTCAACTCTGTTTTATTTCTTCCCTTACAGCTGCTGGATCCGTTCAGACACGCATCTGTTGTACATCGTCCATGGTCCAATTTGTGCTGCTCTGTTGGTATGTACTTTCCAAGCTCAGAAATGAAAATACAGGGGGAAGGGAATGGTGCCGTGGTTTTATACCTCAGGGTTTCATTCATATGGATGAGCAGTATAAACTGATAATCTTATTGTAGAAGGATGAAAACAATGCAACCAAGTATATCATAATCTCAAATGGAAACATTACGCTAAATTAGTAATACTTTGTAAAGTAGTTTGAGTGTTGGACCAGCTATGTCTAGCAGGTCTGAAGACCAAGAAGTCGGAGGTTCAAATCTGGGGAGAGAGAGAGTGAGCTCCCTCTGTCAGCTCCAGCTCCCCATGTGGGGACATGAGGGAAGCCTCCCACAAGGATGGCAAAACATCAAACATCTGGGCATTCCCTAGGCAACATCCTTGCAGACAGCCAATTCTCTCACATCAGAAGCGACTTGCAGTTTCTCAGGTCGCTCCTGACATTCTTTATTTATTTATCATGTCAGGGGCAACCAGACGATTGTATTACATTTCTAACAGAACAAAAACAAACAGACACAAAACAAAATTTGCAAGCTTGGTAGTTGTAGCCCCATTTCTTAAGGATGGCTCTGCATCTCGTGGTGCCAGAGCGCAGTCTGTTCAGCGCCTTCCAAGTCGCCCAGTCCTCTGTGTGCCCGGGGGGGGGGGGGTGTCTCTTATTTGGCATCACCATTATTGAGGTTCTGGGTTTGAGCCTGCCACTTTTGGACTCTCGCTTGCTGAGGTGTTCCAGCAAGTGTCTCTGTAGATCTTAGAAAACTATTTCTTGATTTAAGTCGTTGACGTGCTGGCTGATACCCAAACAAGGGATGAGCTGGGGATGTCACTGCCTTGGTCCTTTCACTATTGGCTGCTACTTCTCAGTGGACACCCCGTGATAATGCGGCATGTCTCATCAAGAGCCACATCCACTGTTTTAGCGTGGTGATATGTGTTCCACACTGGGCTTATATACTCAGCAGCAGAGTAGCACAGCGCAAGGGCAGATGTCTTCACTGTATCTGGTTGTGATCCCCAGGTTGTGCCAGTCAGCTTTCGTATGATATTGTTTCTAGCACCCACTTTTTGCTTGATATTCAGGCAGTGCTTCTTGTAGGTCAGAGCACGGTCCAGGGTGACTCCAGGTATTTGGGTGTGCTGCAATGCTCCAGTGGGATTCCTTCTGGTCCTGGAAGCGACATGAAAAAAATTAGCAATGTCAAAATTGAGAGTTAAAAATTCAGAATGGCCGTATATGTAAATGAAGCCATGAATTAGTACTACTCAATTCCATTCAGATCTGGCCTGTTAGAAGAAAACAATGGAAAATCAAAGCTTGATGAGCATATACCCTCCCCTCCCAGCTTTGTTGCACTGAATGATATGGTTGCCAATATACCTCTGTTCTGAAAGGTATTGCTGATGATAATATGTCAAATTACTTGGGTCGAAGGATTGAAGTCTGCTGAATAGGTGTCCCAGCCATGGGCTCAGTATGATGTGAAAGGAGATGGAATAAGTCCTTCTTTTATGTGGCACCCCAATGCTGCTTTCTCTTTGGCTTCATGTCAGTACCAAGTAACATGTAATTAATTACTGACTACAGGTTTCTTCCAAAATAGCCATACACATGGTTTTAATCTGCATTAACCTTTAAACCTATTTGACCTGATAATTGTTTAATATGTTTTAGTCTGTTTCCTTTAATAAATAATTAAAGTAATGGTGTTCTTTCAAAGGGCTTGATTTCATTTCCTTTCTACACTGCCCTGGGATCTCATGATATAGGGCAGGATATTTTTTTAATTAATAAAATCAATCATCCATGATGGCAGCTCCCTCTTTCATTTCTTTATTTTCCAATTAAGAACAGAGGTCTCTTTTACTCATGCTTCTGTACTCTCTCTTGAAATCTGCCTTATTTTTTCCTTCCATTTACATGAAATGCTGGAGGACTCTGTTTTTTTAAAAAAAAATCATCGTGCAAAAGCAGTGAGTCAAATGACCAAAATATTTGGGATTGTTCTGAAGACTGTTTTATGGAATGGGAGTGTGAGGTAGGAGACAGCTAATTATAAACGAACGGGGAAAACATGCCGCTGCATGCCCAGCAAGGAATTAGATGAGACAGATAAGTGTCCTTAAATCTCAGTGACCTTTATGTGCAAGAATGGAACACGAGATGAAAAATTGGTCATGACTTTTGGGAAATGGGGAAAACTGTTCATGTAGCAGTTTTCTTTGTGAAAACTTAGCATGCAAAACATTCTTATTTCAGAATTGTCACATACATCATAACTTGACAAATATATATGAAGGGACCAAGATATTTCCCATCCCGTCTTAGACTTATCGTCTAAGAGCACAATTCTAACTAACCAAAAGAGCTTTGGCTTTTTCCCCCAGCTTTATTTATTTATTTATCATGTCAGTATCAACCAGACAATTGTATTACATTTTTAACAATATTTATTAACAAATAGGCAAAACAGAGTTTGCAAGCTTGGTATTGTATTAAATATCCTTTGATCAGGAGCTGGCCACTTGGAGTGCCTCTGGTGTTGCTACAAGGAGGTCCTCCATTGTGCATGTGGCGAGGCACAGGTTGCATTGCAGCAAGTGGTCTGTGGTTTGCTCTTCACACTCGCATGTCGTGGATTCCACTTTGTAGCCCCATTTCTTGTGGTTGGCTCTGCATCTCGTGGTGCTAGAGCGTAGTCTGTTCAGTGCCTTCCAAGTCGCCCAGTCTTCTGTGTGTCCAGGGGGGAGTCTCTCATTTGGTATCAGCCATTGATTGAGGTTCTGGGTATGAGCCTGCCACTTTTGGAATCTCACTTGCTGAGGTGTTCCAGCAAGTGTCTTAGAAAACTATTTCTTGATTTAAGTCATTGACATGCTGACTGATACCCAAACAAAGGATGAGCTGGAGATGTCACTGCCTTGGTCCTTTCACTATTGGCTGCCACTTCCCGGCAGATGTCAGGTGGTGCAATACCAGCTAAACAGTATAATTACTCCAGTGGTGTAGGGCGCAGACACCCCGTGATAATGCAGCATGTCTCATTAATAGCCACATCCATTGTTTTAGCATGGTGAGATGTGTTCCACACTGGGCATGCGTACTCAGCAGCAGAGTAGCATAGCGCAAGAGCAGATGTCTTCACTGTATCTGGTTGTGATCCCCAGGTTGTGCCAGTCAGTTTTCGTATGATATTGTTTCTAGCACCCACTTTTTGCTTGATGTTCAGGCAGTGCTTCTTGTAGGTAAGAGCACGGTCCAGAGTAACTCCCAGGTATTTGGGTGCGCTGCAATGCTCCAGTGGGATTCCTTCCCTGGTGATCCTCAGACCTCGGGATGCTTGTCTGTTCTTGAGATGAAAAGCACATGTCTGTGTTTTAGATGGGTTAGGGATCAGCTGGTTTCCCTGTAATAGGCAGTAAGAGCACCTAGAGCTTCGGAGAGCTTCTGTTCAACCATCTCAAAGCTCCCTGCTTGAGCAGTAATGGCACGATCATCTGCATAGATGAAACTCTCTGTCCCTTCTGGCAGTGGCTGGTCATTTGTGTAGATGTTGAACATGGATGGAGCAAGCACGCTCCCCTGAGGCAGGCCGTTCTTCTGTTTCCGCCATCTGCTTCTCTGGCCCTGGAACTCAACAAAAAAGCTCCTGTTTTGTAGCAGGTTTCCTATGAGGCGGGTGAGGTGGTCGTCCTTTGTGATATTATACATTTTTCTCAGGAGGAGGCGGTGGTTCACAGTATCATAAGCTGCTGACAGATCTATGAAGACAGCTCCTGTGATCTGCTGCCTTTCAAAGCCATCTTCTATGTGCTGAGTCAGGTTCAGCACTTGCGATGTGCAGCTTTTATGAAGCCAGGAAAGCCAGCTTTATTTATGTACAAGTTGAGCATCCTTGAACTCCTCAAAAAGCCAAAATTGTCTACACAGGTTGCTGAGATAGTGACATCATTGTTTCCTCATGGTTCAGTGTATACACACTTTATTCCATGCACAAAATTATAAAAAAATATTGTATAAAGTTTGTTTCAGGAAATGCATATGAGGTACATATGAAACATAAATGACTTTTATGGGGAACCTATGCTCATAAACCCAGAAAATGAGGAGGGCTGACTATACAGGGATTCCAAATCCAAAACACTTCTGGTCCCAAGAATTTTGGAAAAGAGATAATTCATGCTGTATTTAATGTGAAGTTCACAGACTGGCCTGATTGTTTGGCTGATTGTTCATATAAAAGAATTGCCAACAATTAACAACATCCTTTTTATCCTCCTTGTAGGTGAATCTCTTTTTCCTCTTGAACATTGTTCGGGTTTTGATAACCAAGCTCAAAGTTACCCACCAGGCAGAATCCAATCTCTACATGAAGGCTGTCAGAGCCACCCTCATATTGGTGCCACTTCTTGGTATTGAATTTGTGTTGGTTCCCTGGCGACCAGAGGGCCGCATCGCAGAAGAGGTTTATGACTATGTGATGCACATCCTTACGCACTATCAGGTATCCTGTCTCAAGAGGTCTGTGAAGTTTACAGTTCAGAAATGCCAGCCATGAGTGATCGGCATATTTTAATCAACTCCTTCTCGAAACATCAGCTGTGAGCCTTGAAAAATGTTGTCCAGCCTTTAATTTTGTTTGAAATAGTTGGCCACATATTCTCATGTTGAAATCTGCAAAGGGCTGGCATCTTGATGAGCACTTGCTTTTCCTGTGGAAAGATACCCATGCCCAGAAATTGATCATTATCGCAGGCTCATTGGTTGTTAGTTTGATGCTTGCTTTTATATTTTGTTATAATGCCGTTGCTTTATTCTATTTTATGTTGTTTAAGTATTTTAATGTGCTATATTTTATCTATGTTGATTGGGCTCATCCTCTTGTAAGCCGCCCGAGCCCCTTCGGGGAGATGGAGGAGGGATCCAAAATAAAGTTGTTGTTGTTGTTGTTGTTGTTGTTGTATTGCTTGGCATTTTGGCAATGGCACTAAAAAGAACAAGGTTTTTGCAGAACCAATTGGCTGTTGCTTTGGCACAAAAACAGCCCTTCTTGATGATAGATGTAATAGTGTTGTGCTGCCAACACAATCTGCAAATAAGAGTCAAATCCAAACTCAGTGCACTTCTAAAGAGGGTGGGGTACTATTTTGTTTAAGGGGACTTTTCTTGTGTAAGCAAGGAAATGTCCTACTGGGATGTTTTATTTATCTTTTTAAACTTTTTGTATATCTTTTTAATGGTTTTATGCTCAGTTTTGTTGACAATTTTAATTATTTTAAAATGTTATGTCTTTTAATTTACTCTCACTGGGAGCTGCCATGCTTCCCATTTAGGGAAAATATGACATACAAATTAATAAGCTAGTACAGTGTATTGTTTAAGCCTTTCACGGCCAGAATCACTGTGAGTTTTCCAGGCTGTATAGCCATTTCCAGAAGCATTCTCTCCTGATGTTTTGCCCACATCTATGGCATCCTCAGAGGTTGTGAGGTCTGTTGGAAACTAGGACAAGTTGGGTTTTTATATCTGTGGAATGTCCAGGGTGAGGGAAAAAAACTCTTGTCTGTTTGAGGCAGATTATGAATGTTGCAGTTGACTACCTTGATTAGCATGAAATGGCCTTGCAGCTTCAAGGTCTAGCTTCTTACTGCCTGGGTGAATCCTTTGTTGGGAGGTGTTAGAAGCCAGACCTTGAAGCTGCAAGGCCATTCAATGCAAATCGAGGTGGTCAGTTGCAACATTCACATCTGCCTCAAACAGTCAAGAGTTCTTTGGACATTCCCTGGACATTCCACAGATATAGAAACACCACTTGCCCAGTTTCCAACAGACCTCACAACGTCTGAGGATGCCTGCCAAAGATTCAAGAGAAATGTCAGGAGAGAATGCTTCTGGAACATGGCCATACAGACTGGAAAACTCACAGTGACCTTGTACAGTGTGTCATCTCTGCCTGCCTGCCTGCCTGCCTGCCTGCCTATCTGTCTGTCTGTCTGTCTGTCTGTCTGTCTGTCTGTCTGTCTGTCTGTCTCTGTGTGTGTGTGTGTGTGTGTGTGTGATGTAAAGCCATATATTAAATAATTAACTGTTTTTCTGATTTATTTTGCAGGGCTTGCTTGTGGCAACAATTTTCTGCTTCTTTAATGGAGAGGTATAGTAACTGATTTATTTTCTTTTAGTAGTGATTTGAGCAACTGATTTGAAATAAAAATAACCCTGAAAGCTTTATGAAAACCCCTTCCCTATCCACTTATGTAGCAAGGGAATTGCAGCTTAATGTAGTTTGCACACATTCTAGAGTTCATGCTAACTTCTTATGAGACCAGCTCTGTGGCGCCTTTGTGTTAACATGCAATAGAACTGGGCAGCATCCGGTCTGCATATGTTGTTGGACTTCCAGTAACATCCGTCATGCCCAGCATAGTCAATAATAATGAATATTGACTTCTGAACTGGAGATTCATGATGGCTTCCAAAGTTGAAATTCAACCATCAGTAGTGTTAAGGGTCTTTGCCAATGTTTTCAAGCCCCAGAGAGGCCCATATGGGAGAATATGCCCTTTCAGAAAACCTGAATCAAAGCTGTATAGGGTTTTACAGGTTATATTCAGTATTTTAAATTGTGAAGTGATGACGTTAAGGAAGAATCCTCACCAACAACAACAGAAGGAAATCTTTTAACAACGCAGATTTTGCAACTTTTTATTCCTGATGACAGTTGTTCTTGGAAGAGATGGGTTTCATGTACATTTCACCAAGGTCCCTAGTAAATCAAGCTTCCTGTAGCACAGGTGGCCTGCCATATTGTATGAACGGAAACTATTGTAAAACAGAACATCCTTCCAAAGCAGTGGATAAACAAACACGGGCATCGTGTGCCTTCATCTATTTTATCCAATGTATTTTTAACCAAGGTAGAGAAGCTGGCTGAACTTTGTTCAGGAAACACTTTTTTCCAGCTGCTGGTTGGAAATGTGAATTAATGTTGCTGACTGAAAATTCCTGCTACAGTGAGCCAATGCATAGTTTGAGTGTATTTTAGTATCAGGAGGAGCAACAGTCATTAGTCGACATGTCTACAAATTATTGATAGATTGCATTTTATAATAGTCCTTTGAGATGTTCTTCTGGGTTCCAGGCCTACTTAATTACCAGGACTAAGCTACACCATTCTTAATGCTTGCATTTACTTTCCATATTTGTGATGGTTGTAAGATAAATATTAGATAACTATAGAGCTTGGAATGTTAGATATACAATTAATTATGATTTATGATTATTGGGAAGGAAGAAATTAAGTTCTTATCATTAATATTGAGAAAGTGAACATTAATTTGTTGTGTCAGTGGATATTTAATTTATTAGTTAGTAGCAATTCAGTTGGTGTACCATTTATTATTTATTTACTATATTTGTATACTGTCTTTCTCAGCCTATCCGCAACCCAAAGCGGTTTACAATAAGTTAGTACACATAATAGCAAAATATAGATTAAGTATTAAAACAATATAAAACCATTCACTCCACTGCTCATCTGTCTCCTTCCCTGAGCTAGGCAAGATGGTCTCATGTAGCAAGTAGTGCTGGGGGACTTCAACATACATGTTGAAGCTCTCCTGTCAGGAACTTCATGGCCACTGTGACAACTGTGGGTTTTTCCCAAGTGGTATCTGACCCTATTCATGCAGCCAGGCAAACACCCAATCTTTTTTTCTGTGCAGGATGGGATGATGCTGATAGCGATGTAGAGGAACTCTCCACAGTTCCATTGTCATGAACTGAACATTACCTAGTCAGGTTTAGACTCTCTGGGAATCTCTGCAGGGCTGGGAGACAAATTAGGATGGTCTGCCTCAGAAGGCTGATGGATCCAGATAGATTCTTGATGTGCATTGCCAAAGTCTTTCATGTCTGGAATCACTGGGTTGTTGTAGGTTTTTCAGGCTATATGGCCATGTTCTAGAAGCATTCTCTCCTGACATTTCGCCTACATCTATGGCAAGCTCACAACCTCTGAGGATGCTTGCCATAGATGCAGGCGAAACGTCAGGAGAGAATGCTTCTAGAACATGGCCATATAGCCTGAAAAACCTACAACAACCCAGATTCCTGATAGCTCTTGAGGATTTCCTGCCTCCTTACCAGCAAGTCTGTTGAACCTCTGGCTGACTTCTGAAATGGGGAAAAGGCCAAAGCAGTAGGTACAAACACACCTGAGCATCCCTCTTATAGACCAAAACCAGCACCCTGAGGAAGCAAGTGAGACAAGAACTGGGCAAAGTTGATGGAAAACCTGAAGTTAGCCTGACCAAACATGGGGTAGAGTCTAACTGAGAATCTACTGTATGGCAATACAGCAATGAAGGAATTGTTTTGTGCTGCCACCATTGCATCTGCAAAGAGCTGCCCAGCAGAGGGCCATGACATATTTATCTACAAATAAAAAAAATCAGACTACTTGACAACCTTGCATAATAAAGTCACCCAGATCCACTCTGACTTGTTGTAGTTGATACAGTTCCAATGGATATTACCTTGGTGCAGAATGGTAGGTTACATACCTGTGACCATCTTTCTTCGAGTGGTGCTCTGCGAATTCACACTTGTGGAGAGACTGCGCCTGCGCGGGCTCCAACGGAAACTTCTACTTTTCAAAAACTTTCAAGTTTTGGCGGTAACCCCGCCCAGCCCCGGCAGGGGATAAAAGGGCGCCCCGCGCACACCGATCCAATTCCTACGCCGCTACCT